ATAAAAGAGATCTTCCTCTTAATTTCTTAAAAAGGACTGAGACTGGGTTTGAGAAGGCCCCATTAATGACTTCATGCTTTTTCCCATCCAAAAAATGAGATAAAAATCAGGCAGATAGAAAGCAATTATCACCTTTATGGCTGAAAAGCTTCTGCAGAATTTAGATTAGGTTATGCGGGCCAAGTGGGCTTGCTAGCAATGCTTGCCCTTCCCTCTCCAGTCCAGACTTTGAGACAGCACACTGGAGGGAAAGTCTGTCCAGGATAATTGCCTTACTGGTTTGGGGAAGAGACTGATTGCCATGGCTTATAGCTTTTTGACTGATTAGCTCTCTCCAATCAAGCAAAACAGACCAAAGGCAATCACCCTCCAACAACTCACTCCTCTGTGGAGAGATGTAAGAGTGTCAAGAGATACTGTTTCTTTTGGAGAGTCCCTCCCCACCCAGATATGGGATGACCAGGCAGTAACTGTCCCTCTCCTGCACAGGCTGCTTAGTCTGTACATTTATACATTCTGTACATTTGAAATACAGTTTGAACGAGTTTAAAAGCTTCACTCATTCTAATTAAAAATTAAAATCCAATATTTCATAAGTACATGGCACTTAATAACGTTTCCTCTTTTAAAACCAAGTTTCTACATTCACTTAAACGTAAGGATGCAGTGATAAAAAAATTTTACAAGAGAAAGGAGCACAATGTCTAGCTCTATTAATAGGAATCTGTAAGGCTGATTGGCACCAGAAAAACTACTCTGACTTCATCAGAAAGTAAACATTGCAAAATTTAAAATAACTTAAGCTTGTCACAATTTCAGTTCACAGATTTTTAAAAATGAATATGACGTTTTAATTGTTGGCTAGAATACTTTACGAAGTATAAGGAAAGTCATGGCAATGACTTTCAATAGGCAACGGAAAAAATACAGAATTGCCATTGACCCTACAAGAAATACAGGTGTCCAAGGAGCAGCTGTTAGAAGTACAACTACTGTGTGGGGACCTAGAATGTAAGTTACTAATGGAAGATATTTCAATAACACACAACTTTTTTCCCTCCACTCCCCAAATCTTTCACCTGTCTCTTCTGAAAAGATGCAATATCCAAATTGGAACATCCTATGAACAATCTGAAATCTAAAAATACAGGGAAAGGGATTCCTTCGATGTATGAGGGCTGTAAAAAGCCATATAAAAATATTACCTACTGGGTAAAAACTGTTAAGCAACTACTCCTCCGGGGAATTACTTTTTAGTTTTAGTTACCATGTTTATATTTTATCATTCAATAAAAATTTAAGTGTCTACTATGTTGCCTAACTATGAAGTAAATAGATAAAGAAGATACCGTATGTCCTAAAAATGAGGCAACTTACTTGCCCAAGGTTGTGAGTCAGAAAGTGGGCCTGGTCCAAATTCTTAAAGTAATCGATTATTCTAATTATGGAGTTTAGGGAGTAACTAAGCTAACTGGGGGAAAGGGGATAAAATGAATGCCACATTCAGTCACTATCATCCCTGGCTTCTAGTCTGGGATACAACTATCTCAAAAAAAAATTTTATATTGTTTCCAATTCTTCCCCTTCCTTCTCACCTGAACCGGGAAATTGATCTCATCACTCCACTGAAACAGCTTTTGCTCAAGTAGCCAAAGGCCTCCACACCGTTAAATTGAACAGCCAATTCTCAGAACTCATCTTATTTGAATTATCATCAGCATTTAACCCAGCTGATCACTTTCTCCTCATCAAAATACTTCTTTATTTGACTTGAAAGAGGCTATATTTTCTTGGTTTGCCTCCTTCACTGGCTGTCCCTTTTCTGTCTCCTTTACTGGTTCCCCTTCATCTCCCCGAGTTAAAGTTTGGAAACCCAAGGCTTAGCTCCCAGACCTCTCTTTTCTCTTTTTACATTCACTCCCCTGGTGAATTTACCTGGTTTTGTGGCTTCAAATTACGGTCTTAAGTGCCAGGGACTTCACATTTTTATCGACAGCCCAAACCTTTTTCCTTATAACTACAGGCTTAAATAACCACCTGAACGTCAAATTTAGCATGACCCCAAAACAAATTCCTTATTTACCCCTAACCTAACCTGCTGCTATCCCTGGCTTCTCCATCTTAGTAAGTGGCAACTGCAATTACATAAATATGTATTCAATTACTGATGCCAAAGCTTTAGAATTATCCTCAATTTTCCCCCCCACATCCCACATTCAAACAATTGATGAAATCCTGACAGCTGTATTTTCCAGTTAAATTCAGAATCTGACTACTTTATACCACCCACGTACAATCTACGTTCTACACCGTAATTATCCCTCTAAGTACCTAATGACTTAATACAGGCGATCCTCAACACAATTGTTATTTTGAAATTTAAGTCAAACCATGTACCTCTTCTGTTCAATGCCCACACCCATGAGATCCCCAACTTACTTATAATTAATAGCCAAAGTCCTTATAATGTCTTACAAAGCCCTACAAGATCTTCCCCTAACCCCATGACTCTGATCTCATCTCCTATTACTGTCCTCCCTCGTTCACCCTGCTCCAGACACACTGGCTGCCTTGCTATTCCTCAGACACTACCCAAGCTCTTGCCTGGCCTCTGACCATCTGACATTTATATTTACTTGTTTGGTTGTATACTGTTTTCCCCTACTAAGCTGTGCGTTTCATGAGGCTACAGGTTTTCCTTTATATACCAGCCAACTCCCAGTGCTTAAAATTTAGTAGGTGTCAAATAAATCCCTGTTGAATGAACAACAAAACTGATGAGTGTCTAGAGCCAGGTCACCGCTCTGAGTAACCTACCTATTTTGTCCTGGTTCCTTGTATCTGGCTAGTCACCAAAAGATTGTTTGGCTGTGGCCTGAAAATTACACCTTAAGGAATTAAGATAGGATGCATTCGTCTCTACCAAATTTCTGGTCCTCTGAAAGTCGTCCAATAAAGTTAAGATTCAGTGTAATGTAAAGAATTAGTTTTAATCACTTTCTCTGCTTAGCTTAGGTACAATAAAATTTCTTCTGACACGGCTGGGTAGAGAAACACAAATTAAAACAATTTTCTGGATCCTTTTCAAATTCTACCTTGACAGAGAATCTTCTCGATTATCTATGCTTCTTTATTTCCCATCTTTCCCCATATAGTTAAGTGCTCTGGTTGTTCACACTGTCTAATTAACTCTGCAAATTAAACTGCATGAAATTATAAACAAAAATTCTATGAGAGTTCACATGCAAGCTGAGTAACATAATCTAAAATTTAAACTACTGCTACTAAAATTTCTGTATTCTCTTAAAGGGACTTAATTTACCATGAATAACTGGAAAGCATCTTCAAGATCTTTGGATAGGTTATGTATAAGACTGTCTCCTGCTACAGAATTTAATCAGTCATGATAAATTCTAACAAATATTATCAATATTAAAGGCATTCTTAAAAGACTTTAAAGTTATTTTCACTAATGATTTTTACACAGGTTGCATCATTATTTACTTTGTAATGAGATATTTTTGTCCATGGGCAGGAAGATAATGAATTCGGACAGTACATAATTGTTTGCACCTAAGAATTTGAAGTGTGAATGCTTATACTTTAAGAGCTCTTAGAAAAAATAAAATTCGTTAAAATCATTGTGCAACAGGAGTTTTATATTCAATTATGTTTAACTACAAAGTAAATTTCCATTAGGTGTTAAGCTCAAAAGTTCACACCTATAGGGGGAAAATGTACTTTTCATATCTAGTCATGTGCAGTGTGCCTTGAATGACATTGTTGGTAAATCTTACATTTTTTACCCCGTAACTATTCAAAGTACTTTATGAAGGGCTCAAGCAGACGTGTGAAATCCTAAGTCTTTCACCCCATATGTCATCTTCTCCTTGGCGGTACGATTCAGATAGGCCAGTTATCTCCCCTCACGGACCACTCTCAGGTGGAAAGAAGTACAGTGCAAGAAACGGACTATTCAGGTTAAAGTCACAAACGAGAGGAAAAGAAAAACCGAACGACCCAGCGCTACTGGCCGGGCATCTCTTCCAGCAGCAGCTCAAGTGCCTCCGCTGCCCAGAAAACGTAATGGTTCCGCGTATGAGTTCCAGGGGACACGCTGGGGGCTTCAAATTCTCCGGATTTCCGAACTGCGATACCAACCCCTACCCGACGGGCTAAACAGATTCCAAAGTACAGCGCAGGAAAGAAGCTTCTGCCACTCAGACGCGGGCCGAAACGCGCGCCCGCCTTCCCGGAAAGGCTGAGGAAAGGAGGCGGCTACCCGGGCGCGGGGACGAACGGGCTGGGGAGGGGGAAGCTCAGCGAGACGGGGCTGCTCCTGCCTCCCCCAGGGCGGCTGGGTGGGGGTACCCCCAGATGGCAGGGGAAAGGGCGGGTAAGGACACCCCGGGCTGGCGGCACCGTCCAGCCTGGAACCGAGACCGCAACTTGAGAAGGGGTGCAGGGCGGGGAGGACCTGGGGAGGGCGAGCAGTCCCTCTGAGGCGG